TACAAGAAATGATTCTTGAAATTCAGGATCAAGTAAAGTAGGTGAAGAGATATTAATTGAAGATATACTGCTGGGTTTTATTTGAGGATCAGGTGGAGAAGGAATATCTAATAATTCCTTACAAATTCTATATTTTGCAATATGGGTATCTTTTGTTCAGGGATCACAGAGTTTTTTTTTACCTTTGCATATGTTACATGGGCAAATAATCTTTTTTCGAGTTTTGTTGCAGGTAATAAAACATAAATATTTGATGACTCATTTTAAAAGTATTTTAAGAGTTATAATGTTAGATATCGGGAGGCAAGACAAACAAGAAGTCTTTAAATACAAAGTTTTGTAATATATTTTATTATTTGCTATATTACTATAATTTTTTACTGCGATTAAGAATGGATACAAAAGATATCTTATTGAAAAATTAATAAATTCCCTTTTATGTATCATATTTTTAACTACAGGTCAATAGATATCATTTAAAAATTTCCTTTTAACATACATTCTTAAAAGGTTCTTGCAACAAATTTTAAACTATTAGTACTATTAAAGAATAGAAACCTCAAAGAAGGTAATTTACTATACCTAAACCAGAACAAGAGTATCAGCAATTTAGGTTATCAAAAATAAACTAAAAAGGAAATAGTATTAAATTGCAATGCGATTTTCCAAGATAAACATAAACTTATTGTACTATACAAGTCTAACTTAAATGAGTAATATAATGCTTATCATTATAATAGTTGTATATCAGAATCCTGACACACAAAATCCCGACACACAAAATCCCGGCAACAAAATCCTGATATACAAAATCCCGACAAATTAAAATCCTAAAAATATTAAAATTAGGAATTTAATTTGTCGGGATTTTGTGTATTGGGATTTTGTTGCCAGGATTTTGTGTGTCGGGATTTTGTGTGTCGGGATTCTGATATACAAACATTTCTTTGAGCTTTTTCAGTGTATTTATTCTAGAAACTTTTGACATTATATAGTGTGTCTCTGTGCTCTTCCAGCAATGTAAGATGAATTCTCTATTTGGCATTGTGGATCTTCTGGTGTTTGTCTTTGGGTATTTTTTTAGCATATGAATCTTTGGTATTTGTCTTTGGCATTGTAAACCTTCTGGTATTATCCTTGGGAATATTTGGCATTGTGTGTGAACTCTCTGGTGCTTGTCCTTGGGCACATTTAGTATTGTGTGGTGAATTCTCTAGTCTTGTCCTTGTGCACTTTTGACATTGTATAGTGAATTCTCTGGGCATGTTCTTGGGCACTTTCAGTATTATGTGGTGAATTCTCTAGTGTGTGTTTTTAGGCACTTTTGGCAGTGTGTAGTGAATTTTTCTTGAACACTTTCGATATTGTGTGGTGAGTTCTTTTTCTTTGGTGCTTGTCTCCAGCATTGTGTGATAAATTCTCTGGTGCTTGTTCTTGGGCACTTTTGGTGTTATGTGGGGTGTTTGTCCTTGAACACTTTCAGCATTATGTGGTGAATTCTTCTTGGCAATTTTGGCATTGTGTGGTGAATTCTCTGGTGTTTTTCTTGAATGCTTTTGGTGTTATGTCTAGTATTTGTTCTTGGGCATCTTTGGCGTTATGAATTCTCTGGTTTTTGTTCTTGAAACCTTTGGTGTTGTGTAGTAAATTCTCCAGCATTTGTCCTTGGGCACTTTCGGCACTATGATGAATTCTCTGGTGTTTGTTCTTGAACACCTTCGGCGTTATGTGGTAAATTTTCTGGTATTTGTTTTTAAGCACTTTTAGTATTTTGATGAATTCTCTGGTGGTTGTTCTTGAACACCTTCATTATTGTGTAGTGAATTCTCCAGCATTTGTCCTTGGGCACTTTCAGCACTGTGATGAATTTTCTGGTATTTGTTCTTGAACACCTTCAGCATTTGTCCTTGGGCACTTTTGGCATTGTGATGAATTCTTTGGTGTTTGTTCTTGAACACCTTTGGCATCGTGTGGTGAATTCTCTGATGTTTGTCTTGGTGTTCTTGAACACCTTTAGCATTGTGTGGTAAATTCTCTCTAGCGTTTGTCCTTGGGCACTGTAATGAATTCTCTGGTGTTCTTAAATATGGGCAGCCGTCAATAGAAATCAAGCAAATCAACATTTAAAAAAAAATTAATTCCTTAACTTTCACAGCTCATATCTTAATGAATTTTAAAGCTATCTCAATAATTTAATATTCAA